CTCAATTAATGGTGGTAATCAACTAATAAGTTCAAAATATGATCATTACGCGGTAAAACTATAGGGTGCCTTTGATAGAGACTCAACTGTGAGTTAGATAAGCACCAATCTACTCTAACGATTTCATCTTGTAAAATTGTTTAGGGCGTTGAAAAGCGTGACTGCAAATTCTATTCGATTGTAATCTTGTAATTTCATCGGAAAAATGTACACGTTGAAGTTCACGCAATACAAGCAACTCGGCATAACTATAATCGGACGCAACAGTATACGGACGTCGCAGAAGAAGCTTCGTAAATCAACAAACGTAAATCACGCTACTCAATAATTTTGACCAAGAGGAGAAATGGTTCGCCAAAGCAATGATTGGAGAAACCTCACTCAAAGCATTCGCAATCAGAGCGTGCCTCTTCTCTTCCGGTGGTCGGTCACTGACGAAGTTTAGAAATCGGCTATGGGCCACTGCGAGGAATCCAAGTGAATCCAAGAAGGTCCTTGGAACCAAAGCGGGTGGTCCGGTATTTGCATTGGAATGACGTTAAGTTCATTTTCAAATAAATTGTTATTCATTTCGGCTCTGTTTTATAGCAGCATTCATCTCTTATTGAAAAATTAGCTGTAAAACGTAAAACCATGATTATTATTAAGTAGTAGTATAGTGTTTAAGTACTTAAAATTGAAACAAAAACAACAGCGAGATATATTATAATAAATATTTACCGTAAGTTCAATTGCATGTTTCATAATAACACATGAATTAAATAATAAAAAGAATAATTATGTCCACTACGTATATTTTTAAGAATTTAACTTACAATTTACTAGGAAAAAATGAATACCGGCAACAATCTCCCGTTACGTCATCTCGAGACGTTGTTAACATTTTGTTCAGAAAAACCTCAAAATTGTGTTGGAATGACAAAAAAATTAAAGTTGAATAAGTATGCATGTGAATTCAGACTTTTTGTTCACTATAATATTGTTATTACACCATATAATTTACCGGGACGGCATTTAATGGGCAAATTTAGTGAACAACGCCTCGACATGTACTGACGTGTAGAGCGTGAAGTGAGTGTGTGTGACCGTAGTTTGATACATATGTATGTGTGAACGCGTTGGAGCTAAGTTTTGCGGCTTCACCAATAACAAAAGCCACGTTTTATCTACATTATTTAATTCATCTGAGAATACGCCATCGTGGGTGCCGTATGAGGATAACAAAAAGTGGTATATATTTTTGAAAAAAGTTTGCGAGACGTATAATATTTCTATTACCAACGGCTGACTAACTTAGCGCGGAATATGCATATAGTTAGTTTTATACATCTTCTAGGTCATTGTGCAATATTACGTGATTTTAGGAAATAGTTATGATAGTCGTTGCACAACTTTGGAGCAGAATCTTAAGTTGAGCTAAGCAATGGCTTTAAATTCCATTTTGGACACAATCTAAATTAAATTTTAAATGCTGAATAAACACCTGCTTGAAGGTGAAAGAAAACATCGTGAGTAAATCTGCTCGACTGAGAATTGGATTATATCGGGAGCACGTGGATTTTACCAACACGCACTGGAATAGCGCAGACTAACGTCTCTAAAACCCTCTCAGAAATTGTGACTTGTGACTTTACTTTTTTTAAAGTGTAGCAGTGAAAAGTAAAAATAAAAAAGTGGAGTAGAATATTCACATTAAGGATACAAGTATAAGATCACGTTTTCCGCCACACGTCATTCTTTCGTATTCACATTCGAGCCGCATTAGAGTTAAATCATAGCCGAGAAGTCACCGAATTTTTTTTATTCGAATAATAATTCGTCGATCACAACTCTGTAGAGAAATGCTAATAATTTAAACAAAATAGACTTCGTTATCCATTCATGTGGATAATTAAAAGTATATTAAAAGCGATCATCCGTAAACGTTTAATTTTAAATTACGTTATAATTTGAATATTTTGCATATAGTTACAACGGTTATAACTATAATTTTAACATATATATTTACATATTTTACTTATATATTTTAATTATTTATATAAACTTATTCATTTTATCCTTATCACACAGTGTTTCTAATTCACTGTTTAGTATAATACGTATTTTGTGTCATGTTCATCGGCTTTATCCTACTACATCACCCACTCTTGCACTAAACTATCCTCCATGTTAATTTAAAAAATAGGTATCAGAGCATGTTTGAACTACGTATAGTATACTTATTCTACGTAGTGATGGCGTAAGAATACGCACTATCCGATATCATCCCGGGGGTGTCGTAAGAGACGACAGAGGGAAATGGAAACAAGAAATGTGTAGCAGCATCTTCTTGGTAACAACTCAATAATAATTAAGTACAGTGATTGCGACGCTAACACAGCTGCGGTGCGATGGCTTTGCGGCCTGCACGAGATTTTTATTTGTATACTCTCTCTTGCGGTGGGACGATAGTGCGGTATTGGTGCACTTCTGGTTTCGTGAACAAAGAGAATAGCAAACTTTTATGTAACGTTTCAACAGCATTTTAAAATCCACTGCTGAATATAGAATTTTTCAGTAATGCGTCAGCTGGTTTGTTTTACTCTAAAAGTTGACTGGTAATCAGACACCATTGCAAAGTGATGTAGCACTGCACGTTAAAAGTTTTTAAATTTTATTTAAATTGAAGTTCATGTGCCTGACAAGTGAGATACATGAGGGACTGCAGCTCATCACAGGTTTTAATTTTGTTCACAAAGAGGAATTGCTTGTCGGGTGCCAAATAATTTTTCTTTGTTTAGTTTCTCCGCTAGTCGCCTCCTACGACACTCACATGAGAGAGAGACTGGTAGAATTCTTAAATACACCAACACAGGCCAAGCAACAACGATAAGGTGATCTCTTATAATATGACAAATGTTGCGAATATGGCAATGTAATTTCACCTTAATTTAATTTTTGGTGGTTATGGGTCCAGGCACATGACCTAAAAGTAATAAAATAAAAAGTGAAGAACTTACCGTGAAAATAACATTCGCGTTACACGTGCAGCTTGAAAGTGAGGTTAAGTTTGCACGGCAACGTGGAGATAGTAAAAAGTTACTTTTCTACGTGGATTGTAAGACAGGATAGCGAAATAGAAGTCAATCTAAACACAAATAACAGCTTTATGAAGCTGGAAGGTGCTAATAACTGGAACATCTGGAAGTTCCAAACTACAGTTTTGCTACGATGTGAAGGCTGGTTGGATATTTTCGAAGGAAGAACTTTAAAAACCGAAGATCCCACTGAACAAACCGCTTGGGAGAATAAAGACGCGAAGGCACAAACGCTATTAGTCACAAAGATCACAGAAAATGTAATGTTACATATTATTTCGTGTTCTACTTCATCTGAAATATGAAAAAAGCTGCAAAGTGTTTATAAGCACAAAACAGAAACAAACATCCATATAACTCAACAGCGCTTCTTTCAATATAAGTTTAAAACATGCATTGAAATGTCAATATTCTTATCAGAAATCTAGGAATTACAAAATCAGCTTAAACAAATGGGAGAAAAAGTTTCTGACAAGTATGTGATAACTAAATTATTAATGTTTTTACCAGATGAGTACAAGCATTTTGTGTCGGCTTGTGAGTCAGCCCCGGACAATAAACAAACAATGAAAAATTTAGTTGCAAGATTACTGATAGAAGAAGAAAGGCTGAAAGAGAAAAATAGACAATGTTCACCTTCAAGCTCATCTGCATTTCTGGTTAAGGATAAAAAGAATATAAAATGTTTTAAATGCAATAAAATGGGACATTACCTAAGCGAGTGTAAAAGTAACATGAAAAGTGAAGGACAGAACAACAAGTGTTTTTATTGTAGCAAGAGTGGATGAACATAACAAGTCACAGTGTTGTTTTAAGAAGAACAAAGAACGTAAGAATAGTAACAATAAAAGTAACACATTCGTGTTGTCAAATTCATTAAAAGAATATTGTCAATCTCAGTGGTTAGTGGACTCAGGGGCCAGTGAACATATGTGCCGTGATCGTGCATTATTTACATCATTTACCGACATTGAACAAGAGTCTGTTATTGTCGGTAATGGAGCGGCGATTAGTATTCTAGGCTACGAACAGATGGCAGTAGAGGTGTATGACGGTACTGAGTGGGTACAGACAACCATAGACAAAGTTCTGTTCGTGCCGGAATTGAAAGCAAACCTATTCTCCGTAAACTGTGGATCGGACAAAGGATACGTTATATTGTTAGATGACAGGTCGTATCAGTTAAATGTTTTAAAATCAAAGTGGCTAATGTGGCTATGAAAGTAATTGAAAGTACATTGCAAGAGTGACACGAAAGATTAGCATACCAAAACTTTGATTATGTAAGAAAGGTACTGTTGAAAAATAACATTGACGTGAAACGAACTTCGGCTACAAAATGTGAGAATTGTTTAGAAAGGAAAATACATAGATTGCCGTTTGGGAAGAGTGAGAAATTCACCACAAAAACGTCATCCGAATCCGTAATCCACGCGGATACCTGCGGCCCTATGGAGGTTACGTCAGTTGGCGGTTCAAGGTACTTTGTAATATTGAAAGATGACTTCTCCAACTACAGATCGGTGTATTTTGTCAAAAATAAGTCTGATATAAAGTACTCTGTTGAAGATTTCCTTAACAAGGCAGAAAATGTGACTTAAAATAAGGTGAAAATCTTTAGAACTGATAATGGTCTTGAGTTTATAAATAAGGAGGTTAAAGCTTTCTTTACTAAACGCGGAATCATCATCAAAAAAGTGTCCCCTACACCCCAGAGCAGAACGGAAAAGCAGAACGAGATAATCATACGCTAGTCGAATCCGCTCGCACAATGCTAAATGCATGCAAGGATTTACCAAAATCATTGTGGGCTGAGGCTGTAAACACATCAGCATTTGTCTTGAACAGGACCGGTAAAAGTAACGACAGTGAAAAATCGCCATAGGAGGTGTGGTTTGGAAAATACTTTGAGAAAAAAGAGTAATGGTTGGTTATAGCGAAACTGTTAAAGGATATAGAATATACTTCTCACATAGGAATGATGTAGAATTTAAACGAGATGTAGTTTTCTTAGAAAGAGAACAAAACTATAGTGAAATCGAGGTAAAATTGAAATATACGGAAGAAAATAATGACAAAAGTAATAAGTTTCATAATGAATCGGAAACTACATCAGCAAATCTCGATGAAACTATGGTGATTGCGAGTATATCCGAAGAGTCTGGATCTGAATACAGTCCAAGTGAAGCAAGTAACAGCTCAGTCGAACCAATTGATGAGGTCTGCTAAAGAGAACCCAGCAAACAAATACAGAAGCCACCTGTTTACTATCATTGCCAAAATGTGCATACCGAACAATGTGAACCTGTCACCTATGGTGAGGCTATGATGAGAAGTGACAGCAGCAAATGGAAGAAGGCGATAGATAGAGAGATGCAAAAACTAGAAGAAAATAGTACTTGGGAAATATGTGATGTACCAGAAAATGAAAAGCTTGTGAGTAGTAAGTGGGTATTTAAAGTTAAAAGGAAAGATTCAGATTTTTCTCAATATAAAGCTAGATTTGTAGCGAGAGGGTTCGAACAGTATGATATTTTAGATTTAAATGACTGTTATGCTCCAGTTGCAAAATTGTCAACTGTTAGGTTATTTGTAGCAATAGCAACTAAACTTAATTTACCTATAATTTAAATGAGTGTAACAGGGGCAGGGGCATGCACGGGTTACTGTATGGAAATATTAATGAAAATATTTATATACAATTGCATGAAGGAGCTTACATAGGTAATAATATTGTAAAATTAAAAAAAGCACTTTACGGTCTCAAAAATGCACCTAAGTACTGGAATATCAAATTAAACGCTGTTATCGTTAAAGAAGGTTTTGTTAGATCTAATTGTAACTCTTGTCTTTATAGAAAGTGCACTGATAGTGATCAAAGTTATTTACTATTGTATGTTGACGTTGTCTTAATATTCGGAACAAGTAATAACTCAGTAAAGCAGGTAAAAAATTTATTATCTCAGGAATTTAAAACGAAAGACTTAGGATATGTAAGGGATTACTTAGGCATAAATATAACACAAAATGTAGACACAAAAGTTACTGAACTGAGCCAAAGAAAATATTTAGAGAATGTTCTCAGAAGATTTAAAATGGAAAATTGTAAACCAACGTCTACACCAGTGATGCACAGACTTATTAAGACTAGGGGTCACTCGGACAAATTATGAACTGATGGCGGGCCGCCAGAAGTATAGGAAATTAAAAACAATAAAGAATTGATAATAATGTATAAAAATTGAAAAAGAATCTATTAATTTGAAGCTGGCATTTGGCACTGCATAGTGCTTACAATCTTTTTTATATTTGGCTCAAATTTACTTGTGTATATTTACTTGTATGTAATAAACTTTCATTTGCAAGGCGATTTTTTGTTTTATTATTATTTAGTATTGAAAAGGTTTGTTCACATATATAGGTAGAACCAAATAAACTGGCACATTTCAGAGCGTTTATGCGCAACTCTTTGTACGTATTTTTATCAATGCAGCGGTAAAAGTTCAGCAAGTCTCCTTCGTTGAATTTGTTGTGTAAATCTTGGTCGTTTTGAATGTCGATAATTTCTAACTGCATTGACTATGGCGCATTTTCAACAGAAATTGTTAAAGGATTGCTGAATATGTCCAACTGGGGTATTACTTTTTTAAACTCCGAAAATCTGTCTCGAAAAGATTGAATAAAAATATCTAGCTTTTCTACATAACTGAAATTAATCGCAGTTTTGTTGAATTTTTCAGCCATTTTCTTATAATTCGGAAAATAATTGCAATTTCCAGATTCAATTGCAATCTGAAAAGTGTCAGCTTGCATTGAAAGGATGATGATGATGATGATGATGATGAGCGTAGAGCTGGGATATCAATAGATTTTTGCCTTAAAGCCGTGTTTTCAAGACATTCAAATGATTTGTAATATCAACTAAAAAAGCCAAATCACACAACCAATCAGGATTTTTAAGTTCCGGGACATCCTTTTGCTTTTCCGCCAGAAATATTTCAATTTCTTCTATTAAATTTAGAAATCGTTCTAGTGTCAATCCACGACTTAGCCACCTTACTTCTGTATAATACAGTAAATCTCCATATTCGCTTTCGATGTCATCAAGGAATTGTTTGAATTGCCTGTGATTGAGTCTTCGTGATTTTATGAAATTTTCAGTCGAAACTATCACTTTTATAACATTTTAAAATTAATTTTTTTAAGAACAGAGGGTTTCTTGGTGTATAATGCAGTGAAACTGCATGAGATCTTCAGCGTTTATGTTTTTTTTTCTTGCAGATGCTTTTTCAGCAAAGTAACTAGCCCAGAATTGACACCAATCATGGAAGGAGTACCATCAGTCGCAAATCCCGATAATTTTGATAAGTCCAAATCAGTTTTTGAACACTTATCAAAAAGTACATTGAGTATATCAACTCCTCTGGTTTGATCTTTCAATGAAGACATTCCTAATAACTCTTCTAAGACTTCAAAATATTGAGTAACACCTCTTATGAATATCAGAAGTTGAGCTGTGGAAATAATATCAGTGGATTCGTCGAGTGCTAATGAAAAAAATTCAATGATCTTAGTTTTTTCATTTAATTGTTCCGTAATATCACCTGACAAAGACATAATTCGTCTTTGGATAGTCATACTATTCAGTAGAATTTTCTCAAACTTTTTTGCTGCTTCTGGACACATTTTCTCGGCGGCAATTCTATGCATTCTTTTACAAAATCCCCATCATTGAACGGGCGACTTCGCTTTGCTATCATTCGAGAAATTTCAGAACTAACTTCTGTAGCTGTTTCTAAATCTTGAATGGGTTTTGTAAACATAGCTTGCTGACCAATAAGCTCCCGTTTTATAGACAACATTTTTTGCTTTATTAATTTGCCTGTAAAAGTAGGATGCTGCTTTTCATAGTGGCATTTTTTTATTATATTCCTTTGCAATCGCAACAGAATTCTTGCAAATTACACAAACGACTTTGTTATGCGACCATACAAAAAAGTATTTCTCAGTCCAAATTTCTTGAAACAGCCGATTTTCATCCTTAATCTTACGTTTTTTACTAAGTCCTGGCTTGTCCATGTTGCGTTCTAATCCTGGCTAGGATTAAGACAGCACCTAAAACCAATTGCAGTACCTACTTAAATTACCCATCCTTTTTTAAATTACCAAAAATAATTGATTAAATAGGTAGGGAAACACTTATTAATAACAGAGTTTTACTTACGATTCGATATAAAGGATCTCCTAGGTGTGCGTTACTTGCAGTATGCAGTGGCTGCAAATAACCGCCGGTACGACAAACTCCGCCGAACGTTGAGTCCCGTGATTCCGTGAGGCGTCGAGGTCACCGGCCCCTAGGTGATTCTTGGCACCTTATGCGTTCCGTGCATTCTGTGCCTAGTCGCGCATTAAAGTGCCACCTTTGCACTTCCCCCAACCCTTTTGTTGTAAAAGGGGTAGGCAGTGCCCACAGTGTAGAAAGTCTCTGTAATAATATCACCACCATCCGCGTCGCGCATCAATATTTGCTGCCGATCGTTTGGAAGATAGATAGGGCCTTAATTAGATTACCGCTGACGCTGACTGTTAGGTTAGGATGTCAGGGAACGATAAGGGGGGAACCTCCTCCGAGATCGAGGAAACCACCGGACCGGCCAGGCGTATTGGATAGACCCATCGCCTACCGCGATATTTTCAACCCGGAGAGGATGAGAGTAGTCTCATCCTACTCACAAATACCTACCCGGAAACCTTCGTCGCCGGGTAAGGAGGCCGCACCTAGGGTTGCACACTCTCCCGTCGTACACTCAGGTACGACGGGAGAGTGTGCAACCCTAGGTGAACCGCTGCCCTCACAGCAACAGCGGCCCAAGAAGACGCCACGAAGGCACACGCCACCGGAGACCGAAGCCTCCCTCTACGAAAAGAGGCAGTGCATCGGTAACTCATCCGACTCGCCAACATCATCAGAAGATGAAGAGCCCCAAGCAACGACTAGGAAGAAGGTCCACACCTCACATCCTAAGTCGCCATCACCGCCACCCATCTCACCGGACCGACGCAGTCACGACTCGATTCAGTTCGAGCAAGGAGGTGAGGAGTCCTACAGCCGGGGCTCGACAACATATGCAACCCTAGCTGCATCAGCTGGAAAGTCATCCCCGGTACAAATTACCAACCCGTCCGGGTTAGCTCATGATGATGGGCAGCGGCCATCAACGAGCTATGCCCACATGGCAGCAGCCCCGGCAGTACCACGACCGCAATCGGCGGAGCAACCTCAGGAAACTGAGAAGGAAAAGGAGAAGAGATATCCGCCGATTGTCGCAGAATGCCTCCCGGACTGGACCAGGCATTTTAAGGTCCTTAATGAGAAGTTGGGCCATCCACCTAATGCCCGTCCGTTCGGAAAAGGAGTTAGGTTCACTCCACAGAGCCCGGATGAGTTCCGTACCATACAGAGGTACATGGTAGAACTCTCCGAAAAGGATAAAACAATGTCGTGGTATTGTTACACACTGGCAGAGGAGAAGCCCACCAAAGTGGGCATCCGTGGTCTGCCTGTGGGCACCGACGTAAAAATGATCGAGGAGGCTATTTGGGCAAAAGGCTTCCCCATCAATTATGTGAAGGCCATACCACCACGTAGGGGCAGACCGGGCTGCCTCTACTACGCACAGCTGGAGCATCTGAACCTGGAACGGCTACAGCAACTTTACCAACTTGACGAGCTCCTCTATATGAGAGGAGTCGTCATCGAAGCCTGGCAGAGGAAGACCGGACCGGCACAATGCCACCGTTGCCAGGCTTTCGGACATGCCTCTGCTAATTGTTTCAGGCCAGTGAAATGCGTTCGCTGTGCGGGGAACATATTGCCAGCCTTTGCCCAAGGGGTAGAGAGGAGGAGCCAAAGTGCGCTAATTGCGCCAAGAACCATACGGCCAACGATCGCCGCTGCCCGGTACTGAGGAGGATAGCCAGGAAGCAGGGGATCGTCTTACCTGGGCTACAGCCGGAGAACCCAAAGAGGATCCCCCCAAAGTCGCCCAAAGGCCGTCACTATACAGGAGGATGGGTGAGCCACCATCACCAGAGGGAAGGGTAGGCAACCAGCCCCCCCCACCACCCCCCTCCCGTAGTACCATCAGAAACGGTTGGTCCCACAGATCAAAGGGCAACCACCGGGGCGACTCTCCGACCTCCTGCCAACGACGCCACCGAGAGGCAAC